CGTTATACAACCCAAAGGATATTCTTCTTTATGCGAAAGTATCGAATGTGCATGTGAAAGTGATTTTCGCCTAGTCCTCTGGCATTATTGTAATATGAAAATACCCTAAAAATTATCCAAAAAATATTAGTAAGTACAACAAGCTAACCTGTCAACCATTTGATCAATGAAAAGAAGAGGATAATGGTCCTATTTAGTGATTGCATTTAGTTTCCGATAATCGATGCACTGGCACCATCTCATTGGTTTGTGAACAGGAACAAGCTCCCCATTGTGATTAGTTTCAACTGTGACTCCTGCTTTATTTGGAACTATTTGCACTAGACTCACCCATGAGTTATCAGAGATGGCATAAATCATCCTCAGATCTATCAACTTGAGTATTTTCTTTTTTACCACTTCTATCATTAGGGAATTTAGTCTTCTTTGTGCTTGTCTCATAGGTTTTGCACCATCTTCAAACCTTATTCTATGCATGAACAAAGAGCGACTTATGCCTTTAATATCAGTTATTGTCCATCCTATCGCCTCTTTGTGGTCTCTAAGGATTCAGATCAACTAGTCCTCTTGACTAGGGTCCAATTTAGTAGAAATAATGACTGGGAGAGTATTTTTATCGACCAAGAATCATACTTAAAATGACCCAGTACGGGTTTTAATTCCACTTCAAATACCTGCACCACCGAAGGCAACAACAACTTTGGATGAAAATTGGGTATAAATACTGGTGCAAATTCATACCTTATTGTAATAGGTGCCATTGACTGTAGCGCTCCAACTATGTATATTAACTCCTCATTCAATTTCACATCGCAGGTTGTCCTCAATTCAAGATATTTGGTGAGGACAACTTCTAGTTTATCCCTACAATCAATCTAACAAATTTTCTGTACCATAGAGTCAATCACACTCGTTGCAAAAATAGTATGAGAGTCTAATGGGTAGTTTAGTTCAAATATATTGAAATGGACCACCTCCCCATCAAATTTCATTGTGAGTGTACCCTGTTTAACATCAATTTTTGTTTCGGTTGTACTCAAAAAGGGTCTTCCTAATATCATAGGTGATGGATTTAGTGAACACTTGTCATTCATATCAAGCACATAAAAGTCAGTTGGAAATACTAATTCATTAATTTGGATCAAAACATCTTCAACTAACCCATCAGGGTATGCATTAGTCCCATCGGCTAGCTGAATTATAATGCCTGTTTCTTTTAAGGGTCCTAGATTTAAAGAGGCGTAAATACTTTTTGGTATCACATTGATGGAAGCTCCTAGATCTAGCATAACCTTTCTAATCTTAGTTTTTCCAATACGACAAGGGATAGAAAACATACCTGAGTCTCCACACTTGGGTGAAAGTTTTTTTTTGTAACACGGTTAAAACATTCTCTCCCACCACAATTCTTTTATTACCTCTCAATTTTCTTTCGGTTGATGCATAAATTCTTCAGAAATTTTGCATACTTGGACACTTGTTTGATTGCATTCAACAGACAGATGTTTATCTCCATCTTTCTTAACATCTCTAAGATCCCATTCTCTTTGTCATGCCTTTTTGGTTTCTCCAACCTATAGGAGAAAGGTGGTGGTTTAGTATTAGTTTTAAATGAAAGGTTCGAAATTACCTCAACAGTGAGTTTGCTTATTTCTTCTTTTTCCAACTCCTTCACAATTTGATCTTCACTCATGTCCTTGGGAACTATAGGTTTTGGCCCTTCAACTCCCTTTCCACTTCTGAGGGTTATGGCACTTACGTTTTTTGGATTCACCTTAGGTTGAGAAGGTAGTTTTTCTTACCCTTGAAACTCCGGGGGGTTCACCGTAGAGGCTATCTAATTTATTTGGTTCTTGCCTCTATCTTTTGCTGGAATTTCACGGTGTTAGCGGCCAATGTCTTGACAAGATCCTCGAGAGATGCTTCTGGAGTAGACGAAGAGGGTTAAGGTCTTGATAGATGCAGTGGTTGGAACCCTTGCTGTCTATAAGTGGCTGAATTTTGCTTATTTCCCCCATAACTAAAGTTTGGGTGGTCCCTCCAACCCGAATTATACGTATTGAAATAAGGATCATATTGTCTACGGGGCGTGGGCGCGTATCCAATTATGTTCGCTTATTCTGTGCTATCATCTTGCAGCATTGGGCATCTATCGGTGATGTGCTTAACATCCTTGCAAATTTCACATGTCTTGACTTGTTGCACATTCCCCGTTACTATTTGGTGAACTATAGAAGTTAATTCAGCCAATTGCTCTTGCATCGATGAAATACTCACCTCGTTCACGCAATGACTTGGAATGTCCTCTCGTGTGCCGAACTGCTAGGAGTTTTCAGCCATCCCTTCGATTAATTCCCAAGTTTTTCGAGGGTTTTTGTTCACTAACGCACCTCCACTTGCAGCATTGATAATACTCCTATCTCTGTAGAGCAGGCCTTCATAGAAGTACTGAATGAGAAGTTGTTCGCTAATCTGATGTTAGGGACAACTATTACACAACTTTTTGAATGTCTTCCAGTATTCATGAAGAGACTCCTCAGAACTCTATTTAATGCCACAGATCTCTTTTCGTAAATTGACAGCCCGGGATACAGGGAAATATTTTTTCAAGAATTTTCTTTTCATATCCGTCCATGTTGTGATACTCCCTGCTAGCAAATAGTATAGCCAGTCCTTGGCTGCTTCCTCAATGAAAAAGGGAATGTCCTCATCTTGATTTACTCCTAAGTGACACCAGGTGGTTTCATACTTATACATACCACTATGAACTCCTGTAGGTGCTTGTGAGGTTCTTTACCTGACAAACCATGAAAATTAGGGAGGAATTCAAACGCTACATTTTCAACAAAGTCAGAAAAGTAATACATAAAGGCTGCAGGTTTATATCCAAACAGCCAACTCCCTTTAGGTTTGATTGTCGTTTGCGATAACAGCTTTCTTTTACTCAAAATCACTTGAAAAATCCAATAAGTTCACAACCAAATTATGCTCTGGAGACACAGTAGATGGCCACTCAATCTTCTGTATTCTAGTTTCTCTTTGTAGCCTACACGCAGTCTTCTCAACTTAGAGATTGAAGATTAATTCACCTGTATGAGAAGAACGAGACATAAACTAGCAAAAATGCCAAAAAATAAAATAAACTAAAAAAAGAAACAAATATTCTAATGCCAATTCCCGGCAACGGCGTAAAAAATTTGACAGGTGTTGGGTCTATGTAATAATAAAATCCTACTTATAAGATATTTATTCGAGTATAATAATAAGTAGGGCCGTCCCCACAGGGATTAGGGGAAAATTTGTTTCTTTTCAAGTAAAAATTAATTGGGGGAATTTGGAAGATCGAAATTAAAAATAAATAACTAAGCGAACTAAAAATAATTAAACTAAACAAAGTTAATTCAAATCAAGGATAAACAAGATCTAGCCAAGGAAATATCTCCGAAAATGGTTTATAAAATTGTTCATCGATGCAAGAATTGTTTCATTTATTCGTTAATAAACAGATTATAGTTGCCAACCAAGTGATGACAACCAACTTTTCCTTACCGTCTCGATAGTTAAGATATGCCTGTTAACTACTTCTCTAATTAAGAAATAACCCTAGGTAAACTCGTAAAATTTAATTTCTTGATTGCATTAGAAACTAGAAAAATCAATAAATGCGTTATGAAGGTTTATTTAAATTAGATCATATGTCTTCCTAACATGAAATCAATCACATTAATCGCCACTAATTTAAGACAATTAAACAATTAATCTAACTATCCTAATTGGCAGTAGTTTGCTAAGTTGAATTAACTATCAGGCGCTTTTGATATCCAAACAACTAACAACCATGAGAAGTTAAACTAGAAAATATATGAATACTAATGAATAAAAGAAATTATTAAAAACAATTAGATCTTACAGATATAATTGAATCAAATCCTTGTTATTTCTCGACTAGAAAAGTAAATTAGCCGCGCATCACTAAGGAGGAACCGCACAAATTCATTGAAGAGATTTGCATCAATGCCTAACAATGAAGAAATCAAAAAGAACAAAAGGAACTAAGAAGCTGTTGTCTTTCTTTTTTCAGCACCCGGAGTCCCCGATTCTTCCAAATTGTTTTTGCCTGAGTGCTAGTCAAACGGGCCATCCTATTTTCTCCTATTTGCCTCCTTTGTTACCTACTTTATATCAACTACTAACACTAAACCATGATTCCTAAATAAAAAAAAAAGAAACTACAAAAGATAATATTCCAAGTTTTCTAATCCAATACTAAAACTAATAATAATAATTAGAGTCTTCGAAATCTTCCGCCAACGGCTGTCCTTCTTTCGATTTGGACTTGGAAACAGGTTCCGAACGCGCCACCATCAAATCAATTTTTAACATGCTGAAAAATTGCTCCTTTTAATCATGTTTTGCATATTTTCCAACAATTAGTATCATTAATCAAATATAAGTAAAATCTAACAATTATAACAATATTTAGCTAGAATAAAAGGGGCAATAATCATAAATTGAATAAAAATTTTGCACCTATCAATGTAGACTTCCTATTATCAAAATCACTTGTCATATATGCTTCGGTGCATCCGTCTAGTATGATCTTACTGTTGTCGAACTACAAACACAACTTAAAAATTCCCTTAAGATATCTAAAAATTCACGTGACAGCATTCCAATGCTCTCTACAACATCAATACTAAAAAAGACCTTTATACAAACACATCTAAAGGAACAATAATCTATTAAGTATAAACACAATTAGCAGCTTGCAGATATGGCTTATAGGGAGTTTTGAATGACGTAATGAGATCATGAACTGAAGCCTCAACAATATAACCGCGGTCTAGAAGCAGCTTGACTACCCATCAATCTATGTATCCCGAAGCTCCCGTCACACACGCCACATTCCCACCAGTCATCTTCCTTAGACCCCTTCCGGTAGTTAGACAATACATCAAACATGTAACAAACACAAATACATCCAATCAATAATTACAATAGATACAACAGATGGTACGAACATTGAATAATTTTTTTGATTATACAACTCTATGAACTATAATGAATAATCTTTATAATTCTTTTAGGAATACAAATTCTTACAAAATTAAACCGTTCTTGATTTAAAAAGTAATAAAATTCTTCTCCTTGAAACTTTCAACAGTGTCCTTCAGGCTCACTTCCAATGGAATGAAATTGATTCCCAAACCTTCTGTTTTCTCCATCGACACTTCGAATTCTCCCATACCGAAGGTGCTATTAGGAGAACCTCTACAATAAAGCCAGCACAATTTCAAGAATGTGAAAGTTTGAGCTACGACAGAAAAAGGCTGATTACCAATTAAAATCTTCAAGCCAGTTTTAAGGGGAAATGCTATGCATCTTCAAATTCAAAATTACCCTCCACTGGAAGGCCTATTAATCTAATGCACAAAAGCATTAGTTCCTAGTCTTGTTCTTCACGTAGATAACAAAATTCCATTAGAAGTTTGCCTATCAGAACTTGCCCTCTCTATTTCAATGATCCAAATGACATGAATTTTAGTGGTAACCTGAAATACAAAAACATGAAGTCCACATTCTTGATATTAAATTTTCTCTTAAATTTCTTGACTTATTGCTTTTGAGAATGTAATGCTACCAGTGTGTTCATATGTTTGCTGGCTTCTAAATGCATTCTAAATTCTAAAGGCCTCATCTACGTTTGCAAAAAAGTTAACCTCTACGCAAATACATCTTAAATAAAGAGTAACATTTACCACTGTGGTCATATGCAATTGCAGGGACTGATTCAAAAAATATATTTCCGACATTAGCACATTATATACAACCTGAAATCGGAGTACTGAAAAGAAGAAAAAGAAAAAGTATTGCCTAGTCAGCTTATGTTCAATAGACCATTAAGTCAAATTTCAATTCTTCATGATTGAAAATATTTGTAAAATCTGCAACGTTAGGCATATAATCTGCAGAAGCACTGGAGAACCTTGTAGAAAAAAACAATTCTACAAAGAAATCTGAGGAAGTGATTCTTTTCTCGAACCAGATGCTGAATGGACGCAAGTCTTGTCATTATAATTGAGAAGGGAAAATGAGACTCACTTATTTGGAAGTTGGAGAGTAGGGAAAAGTTGCCTCAGAATCTTGACGATCTCGGACCAGTGCACATTTTTCCCAACTACACAATATCTTCCATTAGCAGAAGGGATTTCAAAGGCATGAATATGTGCACAGGCAACATCTCTAACATCAATCCATCCAACACATGCATCAGGAAATGATTGAGCCCCTGCATTCCACACTTTCCATTAGTAATATCTTTGATCATAATCACTAATATCTTTGATTGTACCATGTATAATAATGTTTCTATGTAAAAGAATGCATATTACTTTTAGCCCTTAGAGGTTTACTGTTCGTTAAACAAGAAGAGATGACAACTGTTAAGAACAGAAGCAGATCCTGATTTTTGGAAGAAGTTGTGTGGTCTGCGCTGAAGGCTGCATAGAGTTGGTTTTGATTACTAATTTATGGGCAAGGCCTACAGGATAGGGGGAGTACTGTTATAAAGGACTTGAAAAACACCTGGGATAAAGGATGCATGATATAGCTAGGGGTAAGTACAGTTAACAACCCTTATTAATTATCATCAGTATGACCGTAAACAACTTGATAGCATTGAATTGATATCTTGAGCTATTGAGCTAGAAAAGCTTGAAGCTCTACATATGAAAAAGATTCATAGGGTACACGAGGTTGAATTAGATAACAATGTAACCAATGATTTGAGGAGCCTATGCCATCATTTTACTCATTGACACTTAAAAGGCTTACTTGCAAAGGATGAACTTTTGTCGTTTGAGAAAGCTACAAGCTAGACAGATCAATACAGAGGCACAACATCAATTAGCCATTCGATAGAGTACCATTTACTACATCCAGGACCAATCCTGCACTTAGATTGATAGAAGGCTGCAAAATGGGACCAAAGACCCATCCTGGATTGATTGAAACCATGTCAATGCCATGCTCCTTTGAGAATTTCCAAGCAGCATCCTCTGCTAAAGTTTTTGACAGTTGATACCACATCTGACAAACAAAATACAAAAACAAAAGTTGGTCTAAGTTCTATCAAGAAAGAAGTTTTACAAGTTATTAAGAAACACAGAATATTCTACAAACTTTTGCTTACCCTACTTAATCAATTAAAACAAACGTACTTCACATCCTCCCCTAACAGAGTAAAATTTTTTCAATAATTTAGAGATCTGTAATTTCTTGTGTGTTAAATCTGCAACTAATTAGAGAAGTTTTATTTCTTTATGCTTAACAAATGATACAGTACGTAAGACTAACAAGATTCCTGCAGACTCTTCATGTTTCGATCTCTTGATCAGTCAGTAAGAAATGCAAGTCCAGCTAAAATTTTACATTTCACCCTTGGCAGCATATCTCTCAAAACTAGTCAGCGGAAAATTCAGTCTCCTTATCTGAGTTTTATAGTTTAATCCTACAACCATCCTAGCTACTCAGCGTCCATATGCTACTATATCTTTTGAAACAAAGTCTTAAATTTCTAATGCTGTAATACTTACACTCTGAAATTCTTGAGAGCAGTTACTAAATGCATATATCGATGAGTGCATCATGTAGCTTTGGAGAGTGTAATGGAGCAAAGCCTTCATAACTTACAGATTGGTTTCAAATTTACCTAATTCTTACTCATTGTGCCGAATCACTTGTTCATTTTATATCTTGCAAGCTACTATTCATTGTAAATTGTTCAACCATCTTTGGAGCTGTCAATTATAATCCATCAAGGAACAATAACAACAAGAGCGTGCTTTTATTGCTTTCTCCTGTACATCTGAAATTTTTACCTTTATTTTGCAAAGAGTCAGAATAAACAGTTTTTCCTGGGATCTGTCATGAGGATTTTCTTCCTACCTCTTAGCTTGATTTGGTGCAAGTCAGCACCTTGCTACTTTTAGATGGTGTTCAAGACTATCTTACATGTTCTAGCAGGAAACATGCTACATTGGTGATGCCTGTTAAGAGAACAATGTAGCATTGGCACTTGCTTTCTGTGATAGATTATGATATTTGTCATCATTCCATCCTTATCCAATCGACTTTTTATTAAAGCGTATTCACAAATAAAACAATAACAGAGCAATTAACCATTAGTTTTGTCTAGTTAATGAGATCACAAGACTTGTTACTTCTGTTGACACCAACCAGACACTTTTCCTTGAAACTAAATTACTGAATTAGTAATAGCAGGATATTGCACCTTTTGCTCCTCACAGTATGATGGGTTAGAAAACCAACTTTCGTCAACAAATGAATCTTTATTTAGCTCTGGTTTTGCCAGAACTGCAGCCGTAGAAGATGTCAGGATTACTCTTCTGATAGATGAAACTTTTGCACATGATTGAAGCAGGTTCAGTGTTCCCTTTACTGCAGGGTCTAGTAATTCTTTCTGAGAAGCAAACAGGAAAATATGAATATGCCACAGATAAGTAAAACACTCCATTATGCTACTTGTGCGAGATAGCAATCAAAACAATGTCCCCGAGTATTACTGCATAAATTCAGTGGCTGTATCAACCACTAGGCTTTCAAGCATATTTCTGTTGAGTTGTATTAAACAGTTCCTAAAACAGTAGAATGAGCTAAAACCAGATTCAGCAGAAAATCTCCCATACTTGGTGATTAGAAATGGGACCATGGCCTGATAACAGAAGCAATTTGTCCTAGGTCTGAAGAGGACAACATCCTTGGTTCAAGTTCAGTTATGTCAATAATTAGTGCAACAAATACGTCGATCGTAATTCTAGCACCACAGTGGGTTGTTTTGACTGTAGGACTGCACTCTATATTACCCTATTGCTATTCGAAGGATAGTCATTGACCAGTATAATCTGCGAATATGTGCAAGATTCAAGCAACTTGAAGCTAAAGAGACACCCTGAAAATGGTACTTCATCCCACTTATTGACTCTTTTTCTGTAAGGAAGTTTTTTGAAACTTGCTGTGTTACATTATTTACAGTCTCAATGTGAACTTCCTGAATGACCTCACTTAAATGGGGTCAGATGCCTTGAGTGCCTTAAGCCCCCCACTCTCTCCGCCACTTGTAGTTATCGTCGTTACCTAAAAAATCTTCAATACAGTCATGAAGTAAATGTACCTTCGGATCGCTAACCGAAAAAATAACAGGAGAAGCGGTATGAAAAACGCCAGTACATCCTTGAACTATTTCGTCAAAGGATCCATCATCAAGTAAGTTCGCCTGAAACAACTTCAGTCTCTCCTTGGCTCCATCAAGTGACGTCAAATGTTCCGTCTTTCTTGGATCATCTGTGCCATATAACGGAACAGTCTAGTACATCAGTCTAAAGGTACTGAATTTGCAAGTGCATTGCCTTGGTAAAGTGTATTATCCTAGAAGACTGATGATAAAATCATCATCCAGGAATAGAGGATGCTGCGCCATGAAATTAAATGTGCCAAAATCGGCCTGTTGGGAAATGTAATTGGCAATGTTTTTGGTTTCACTTTGGTACTGAAGTAAGAATACATCTTTCGTCTTTGGCCTGAAATCCATTGCTGATTTTCCAAAACGTAAAGGACTAGGGCAAATTGTGAAAACCATTAGTTATCAACTTATCATAAGGCTTAATTAAAGTTTACCCGCTTTAATTAGGGGGCAGCTGTGCTTCATCACCCAATATTCATTTTATCTTCACTTTGCAACCCCAGAGTTTAACAATTAAAAGTAACAAAGATGGCTTTAATACCATAATTGCCTTTGGCGTTTGACTGCTATTTCATTTCCTGAGATTGTATTTCCATGTTTACCTCTGAATTTCAGAGTCTGAAATAAGAGGGATGAGTCAATTTCTAACTGTGCAAAAACCGGAGACACCCGATGTCAACCCTAAAGGGCATAATATATCCATATAGATTATGTGCTTTTGGGTGTATATTTCAAAAAAAACCTTTACTACAGTAGCTCATGTGAAAAACTTTTACAATAAATAATTTGTTTAAATTTGATATTTTTTTAAAATATATTTTGAGATATTTTTATAATTTAAAAAAAAATTTAAATATTTTTTTTATAAATTTGATTAAAATATCACTATCCCCTCCTTGCTTCTCCACCGTCATCGCCACCGCCCCTTGCCCACCTCCTCTCTCCTCTCCTCCCTCCTCCCTCCTCCCTCGTGATTAAGAGGAGAAGAAGCGGGGGAGGGGAAGGGAGGGAAGGGCAAGGATGGAGGGAGGAGGAGGAGGAGAAGGAGGGGACGTAGTTGGTGATGGGTGATAGATGGAAGGAGAAAAGATAGTAAATCTTGTTATTGTTCTTTTTATTTATTTTTTTTTGGTAAATTATACTATTTGAGAGATTTTGGAGTTATTTTTAAAATTTATTACTATAATTTCCGCAAACAAAAAGAGCTTGTGAGAAAAACACTCAACCCAAATCAAAGCCTAGATAAAACGAATACAGGATGAAAAAGTGAAATTGACCCTTAATACAGGGGGTAAATTGTGACTAAACCTCATCACACAGACCAATACACACGCATTTACAAAAAGAGACAAAGATAGTCGAGGTCCTCGAGGAGTAAAAACTAAAAGGTCACTTACTGGCATCTCGAACAGAAGCTTTAACTGTATAACCCCGGCCAAGTAGCTGCTTGACCAGCCATGAAGCTATGTAACCCGAAGCTCCAGTCACACACACCACTTTATCCTCTCCTGGTCCACTCATTCTTCTCCAAGCTCTTTTTGTGAGGGAATTTGTTACCTGTCAGCCTTGCATCCAAGGCTCACCTCACGGGGCCATTAGTAGCAGAATGGATATGAGAGTATCCATCCATCTGGCAAACTCAGAAAGAGATCAGAGCTTTAAATGAGACTGAAAGTGACGAAAATATCAACTGGTATTTTTGCAATTTGCATAGCTCATGGATGGCGTTTAGTTTAACCATTGGGCCCTTGGTGTTGCCCATACATGGTCAATAGTCATGTGCACGTATGGTTAGAACAGTTCCACTTTTAGTGTGGTAAAGTGGTTTGCACTATAAAAATGGTACTATTAGATTGACATGAAATAGTAGTGTGTCATCTGTGCTCCTTTTCTTTAACTAATACAGGGAAATTAGATAGTATTAAACTGAGCTTGCATGCTCTTAACATTTGGTTAGATGAAAAATAGGTTAATCCCAATTTTAGATGCTAATGCATCATGAACTATCATGGGACAGTTGTCTCTTTTGTTTGGATCCTTGTCTAGATACTGTAAAGCTTTTGCAATGATATATAAATCTAACGTTTCGACCCAAAAAAAAAATTGTGGGGATAAGGGGCGGAATGGTTATCAGGAACAATGGATGATTTTGTGTAAAATCTACATGGCGTAGTTCTGTCTGCATACGGCGTCACTCACTTTCAACAAAATTTTATGGATCCCACACATGATGTGACAAATAAGGTACAAGATGAAATCTGAATCTTTTTTTTTTTTTTGACCAAATCTTGATTGTAAACTTTCAGGCAAGAAGCAACCGTTCCTGTTCCTCTCCCAATTGTGGAGGAGCGGCCGGAGAAGCAATCCTTCCTAAAGGTTCAAGACCAAGATTTGGTCAAAAAAATGTAAGGTTCAGATTATATGTATCTTGTACGTTACTTTTCACATCGTGTGTGGGGTTTACAAAATTTTGTTTTATAATTATACGTTATTAAAAATGAGTTACACTGTATGCAATGCAAATTATATCTTATGTAAAATGTATAAAATCGGCCCGAACGATTTTTCTGACAACCATTCAGGCCGTGTCCGTTAATTGTGGCATCTGAAGTTCGAAAATGTAAAGAAGAGCAAAAAAAGAAGACAACAACTGGAAACCGGCTTTCTTTTTATTCTACCCAGTTCGTAACGCGACACGAATGCTTGGAATAATAAGGGGAATACCGGGCTGGGACCAAGCAATGGTGCAACGAAGGTTTTACTTTAGGGGAGAATAGTGCACAAACATATTATAAGTTAATACTCATCACAAATTTTTAAGTTATAAGCTTAGAATAAGAATAACTATTTAAATATTTAGTAACTGGGATTTATGATATAACAAAAGAAATTCTAAAGTAAAATAAAATTGCCTTTAAAAAGTAGAGCTTAGCAAAAGAGTCAATCCTTGAAATAGATTTAATGGAGTTGACAAAGATCAATGCTTGATCACATAGACAAAAGTTGAAAATTTTAGTGTTTTTTTTTATTAATACTTCTATTTTTTTCCTTTTTTAGTTCAAGTTGATTTAGCATTAATAATTTGTACCTGTGGTTAAATCTTCCTTTTCTTGTGTTTGATTTCTTCTATTTATCTTGTCTTTTTTTCGTTTTATTTTGCATGTGAATATAGTGTTTCTTAAGTTACTATCTTAAGGTTATAATAATTATATCTAATATATGAATGATTTGGATAGCGGGTGCCTAATAAGGAGGCCGCAAATGTGATTTTTCTTTTTAAGTGTGGTTAATTTGTAAGTGTCTAAATGCAAGGGGCAATGATTGTGTATAATCATATGGTAAGTTAATTTAATTATATTGATCCTTTTTTGAAAAAAGAAAAAAAAATTAAGTAAGTGCAATTTAAGTTGTTAACTAATACTAACTGGGCATCTCCCAGAAAAATCCATAAAGGACATAGTATTTACTTAGTTATTATTTAAAAGTTATACTAACTACTAATGGTATAAAAATATCAAAATGAAAACTGATATATATGCTAATATAAGGAAACTAAGATTTGAATTGCTATGTATAGGATATTTTTTACAAATAAAATTAAAGGAGATTCTTTAGTTAGTATTTAAAAGTAGTATATAAACACAAATACTAATTATATACTAAGATTAGTTTTATAAGAGATTTGTATTGTATGCTAATATAAGAAAATTAAGAGTTGGTTTTAAAGAGTGACATTTAAGTAGATTCTTTAGCGCAAGTGATAAAAGTCAATTGAGAAATTAGGACTTCATGAACAAGTTTAAAAATTTTTTGGAAGCTGACATACATTTTTCAAGAAGCTTGGGGCTACTGCCCATGACCGAGTAACATTTTTGTGGGGGATGGCGGCCCAATCCACAATGGTGAAACACTCAATGAGAGCAATAGAAGAAGATATTTAAATGGGCGAATATATATACAGGTGGAAGGTATGAAGTTTTAATTTTGGATGCATCACCTAATGCATATACCATTTTTCCCTTTAATATATAGAGTAAATATTATATGCAGTAACAATGTGTATACTATCACTGTTAGATGCACGACAAATATGTAAAATTTGGATTTTAAATTCAAATTTGAACTATGTGTCGTACATCCAATGATGAAAATGTATATGATATCAGTATATAGAAAATTAATCCTAATATATATACCATTTTTTCTCCCCAGTCGACCATTTTCGCTCTTTAAATGCCATGTCTTAATAATTCAATTTGATATTTGAGTTTTACCTATTTATGTATTTCAACAACCTTTACCTAAATGGGGTTCTTATTCATGAAAAATTCTATAGTTTTCTTGGGAATCATTCTCACACTTTTTATCCCTCACTAATAATAGTTGTTTAAATTTTAAATGATTGAAACTATTAGAATTAAAGGATTCAAAACACTTATTTCACCATTCAATGGTGAATTTAACTTGAGAGTATGATACTCAAAAGGGATTGTTGATTCTGTTCTTGTCAATTATAAAAGTATTCATACTTTTAGCTTTTAGTTTTGTATTTAATTTATCATAATATGATACTCAAAAGGGATTGTATCACATTATATAAATTAAAAGTATAAAAGTTTTTAAAATTTGATACAATAATTGAATATTTAGAATACAATAAATTTCTAGCCCATTGTTTGTAAAGAATCTAATCTATCTCTTAGTTACCATGACAAACCATTTTAGTCCCTTAACTTTGTAAAGTTGGCTAATGTGGTTTTCACGAATGGCCATTTGAGAGTTGCTACTAGAGTTAACAGAAGAAACATTAAGATTTTGTAAAGCTCCTAAAACTCACTCAAAATATTTATTGTTGATTGAAAACACCTCAGATAAAGTTTTGAACATAAATTTAAGCACTTTTCCTTTCTCTACTCAAAATGTGATGATAACTACCAAACTAGCATGAAAATGCTAGACTTTTTCAGGACGCCTTAAAGTAAAATTCTTGAGTTTTACATTTAAAATTTGAATTTGATTTGTTGCTGAGGTATAATACGAAAAAGATTTATTCTTGCATTTTTTGGTGAATCTTAAAAGTTTTATAATTTATATTGTATTTTTCATTTTTTTTAAGGATTGGCGAGACAAATATAGAGCCATAGTTTTGTTGTAATTTATACTCACCTCACATACAAATTTTTGTTATACACTTTTTGCATGAATATAACTATATTTTTGTCACACATTTTAAGCATAAAATCCAACATTTTACATTTTGTGCTTTAATAGTTACATCAATATCATAAAAACAACAATCAATCTCAAAGTATATTTATTGAGATACCTAATTTAGGATATAAATTTTAAGATATTATAGAAAAAATTGAGAATTGTTTGAGTTTATTGAGTATTTTTCATGATATTTTAACTAGAAAAAGGAATGACTACTTCAATTTATGTCTAAAATTGTAGTGTAGGTGTTTTCAATTTAATGAAAATATTTTTTCACCGTCCTGAAGTTCGTTGGGTATTTTTCGACTTTTGCAAATTATTTAGATTTTTTCAAACCGTTAATAGTTTTTGGTTAGAATTCCTTTTTGGTTTGTGACTAATTCCTCTATTTCATACATCCTTTAATGCGCTTACTTACTAATACATGATCTACTCATTTTTCCTCCATAAGTGTAATGAAGTAAGAAGGCTGGACCGGAACTGAAGAAACGAGCTAAGAAGAAGAAACAAAGAAGGCGTGATGTCAGAAGCTGAAAGCGTGAACTTTTGCATAGGAGAGTCATCGAAGGTGTGCTATCAAAACCATGCCTTTGCTGGGTTTCATCTGTTCCTAACCGAAGCTGAGGACCACTGCAACTTGCAGCTATAATTGGAGACTTGTTTAATTCCCATTGGTTCAGTTGAAAGTTTGTTAGCATAGATAGTGATATAAGCAGGCATGTCTGCTGCATTTTAGGTAGCTTTTGTCTTTTTTCTAGATTTGGTTTTAGAGATTTGGGATACCAATCTCATTTTCCCTCGTCTCAAGTTTTCCTGCAATTTTTTTCGCCTTCCTTTCTAAATTCGTACTCTCTATTCTTGTAACTTGATATTGAAGTTTTATTAATGTAAGTTGAGTTTCTTCTTTTCTAATCTATAAGTTCACTGTTCCATTGATTATAGATGAGGTTATTCCATTCTGAGTTTGGTACATTTTTCATATTGCTGCAACTCTGGTTTTTGTATCATAACAGTGGTATCAGAGCTAGCTACGAGCCATTGGAAATGACTAAAACACAAGATGAAATGATAAGGAAGGATTTAACTAAGTTGGGAAGTGTAGTTAGGACCTTCGCCAATAGGAATGATGGACTGGAGCAAGCTGTTAGGACAATGGAACATAGGCAGGAGAGTAGGGCTGCAAACGAATCGAGCCGCTCGCGAGCGGCTCTAGTCAAGCTCGAGTCGAGCTCGAGCTGGCTCGAGTAGAAATCGAGCTCGAACTCGAGCTCAAAATATTAAGCTCGTCCGGCTCGCGAGCTCGAATATATATATAATATTTTTTAATTTTTTTATTTTAAGTATATATATATTTTTTATTTTTAAGTATATATATTTTTTATTTTTTTATATTAATAGTAAAATTACATATATATCCTTAATATTTTTATTATTTATTAAAAAATATATTATATTATTTATTTTTTAAAAAATAAAATAATTATTTTTTTAATTTTTTTCGAGCTCGAGCTTGGTAAAATTTAGTCGAGACTCGGCTCGATTAGCCCAAAGCTCGACTTGACTCGGCTCGTTTACAGCCCTACAGGAGAGTACTGAAAAGGTTCTTAAGAACTTGGACCAGAAATATGAAGGTTCGATGAACATGATGGCACAGATGATGGCAAAATTAAATGACAAGGGAAAAGATATGAAGGGCAGTAGCTTAGAATTAGAATCAAGACCCAAAGAGGATGGTAGGAAATAGGAAGTGTAGAGAGGGGTCTAGGGTAGATTTGAGCCTACGGAAAGCAAAACAATCACCAGGCTACCTAAGGTCGATCTACCAATATTCATAGGCGAGAACCCAAGGGGGTGGATCAGGAAGGCAAATAAATATTTCAAAATCAATTGAGTGGAGAAGGACCTGAAATCTGAGGTTGCAGAACTTTACTTCAGAGACAAGGCAGACATATGGTTCCATGGAGTATTCAGTGGCCGAGAGGCCATTCCCTGGGGAGAATTATCCAATGCACTCTGTGAAAGATTTGGAGATGGTTCTCCAGAAGAAGCCATTGAAGAATTCAACAAGCTGATGCAGTCAGGTTCTGTCGCAGATTACTTGGACAAGTTTGAGATGCTCAAATCTCTGGTAATGTCTTCCCTTCCCCACTTACAAGATTCCTATTACAAAGCATGTTTCTTAAGTGGATTAAAAGAAGAAATAGTAACCATGGTGAAGATGGCTAAACCTAAGACTTTAGCAGATGCAATTGATGCTGCCAAACTGCAGGAGAGGAATTTGAGAGCTCTACAAAAGATCCATAAACCACCTTCCCATGGCCCCAACTTCCAAAAACCTCTGCCTAAAACTCAAAACTATCCCAAATGGAACTCACCTAACCCCAAATTTCCTGACAATCAGACCACCAAGACCCATAATAACTATACCAATAACCAGGACCAGTTCAAAAAAATAACTCGAGTAGAACTTAACCATAGGAGAGAGAAGGGACTTTGTTTCAAATGTGTTGAACCCTATACCCTGGGCCATATTTGCAGACAATCTCATGTGAATCTATTATTAATGGGAGATGCGGAGGGGATAGCTATTAAGGGTAAGGAGGAAAAGGGAGATGAGACAGATGTCTTCTGTGATTGTATTGGAGGAGAGCTAGGGGATGAACTCATGGAAGTTTCTGTCCATGCCTTAGAAAGGGGTAGTGTACACAAAACCATTAGGATAAAGGGGATAATCAAGGGGAGGGTTGTTATTGTACTAGTTGACAGTGGAAGTACACACTGTTTTATGGATGAACAGGTAGCCAGAAACTCGAAGTTAGAGACTAATGGACAGGCACTAGCAGTTAGAGTAGCAAATGGGGAAAAACTGCAATCCAGGAGCATAACCAAACCTATAACATGGAAAATGCAAGGGTATGAATTCCAGCATCAGTTCAACACTCTGAAGTTGGGAGGGTGTGATATGATACTAGGGGTAGACTAGTTAGCCAGGTAGAATCAAATGGAGTTTGACTTCTAGGAGCTAAGTATGAAATTTAAGAAGAGTAGGAAGTAGGTAGAACTAAGGGGTAAGAACAATGCAGTACAGTTGAAGTTGATAAGAGGGAGTAGATTGCATAAATGGGTCAGGAAATAGGCTTATGGGATCCTGGCATAGGTAAACACAGTGGAGGATAGGGAACAAGAGCAGGATCGTCCTGCACTAGAAATAGAGGGAGTGCTGGTGAAATTTGATGATGTATTCCTAGAACCACAGGGATTACCCCTTGAGAGGAGTCAGGACCATTGCATCACTCTCAAGGAGGGAGCTAAGCCATTCCAGATCAGGCCCTACAGATGTCCCTATATTCAGAAGTCTGAGATTGAAAAGTTAGTGCAAGAGATGCTCCAAACTGGGATCATTCAGTTGAGTAGTAGCCCTTTTGCCTCCACAATACTTCTGGTCAAGAAAAAAGATGGTTCATGAAGATTTTGTGTGGATTATAGACAACTAAATGAGCTGATAGTCAAGAATAAGTTCCCTATGCCTCTCATTGATGAATTGTTGGATGAGCTACATGGATCCCAATATTTCACCAAGATTGACCTTATAGCTGGGTACTTCCAGATAAGGGTAAGAAAGGAGGACATTCCCAAAATAGCTTTCAGAACTCATCAGGGCCTTTATGAGTTTAAGATTATGCCATTTGGACTGACCAATACCCTTGCAACCTTCCAGAGCCTGATGAACCATGTTTTTCAGAACCAGTTAAGGAAGCATGTATTAGTATTCTTTGATGACATCTTAGTTTACAGTCCTACATTAGAGGAACATTTAAACCATGTTACTGAGGTTTTGGACATTCTAAGACAACACCAGCTTTATGCAAAGAGGAGTAAGTGTTCATTTGCACAGAAGCAAGTAGAATACCTAGGCCACATTACTACAGCAGAAGGAGTGAGAGCTGATCCCAAAAAGATTGACAGCATGATACAGTGGCCAAAGCCTGAAAACACTAGACAACTAAAAGGATTCCTTGGTCTAACAGGTTACTACAGGAAATTTGTCAAAGGATATGGAGCCATTGCAAAACCACTAACTACATTCCTCAAGAAGGATGGTTTCAACTGGGGAGGTGAAGCTGAGGAAGCTTTTCAGAAGCTGAAGTTGGCTATGTGTAGTACTCCTGTACTAGCTTTCCCAGACTTCTCTCAGCCTTTTGTAATAGAGACAGATGTCTGCTATGGGGGAATCGGAGTTGTGTTGATGCAGAACAGGAGACCATTGGCTTTTCTCAGTCAAAGCTTAGGGCAGAAGAACTTAGGATTGTCAATATATGAGAAGAAACTACTAGCATTAGTCACAGCAGTCACTAAGTGGAGACACTACCTAGAGGGGCACCATTTCATCATCAACACTGACCACCAAAGTCTAAAGTATCTGTTGGAATAGAGGATCACCACTCCCCTCCAACAAAAGTGGTTGACTAAATTGATGGGGCTAAGCTATGAGATATGTTACAAGAAGGGAAAGGAAAATGTGGTGGCAGATGCCCTCTCCAGGAAGGGAAGGGAGGAAGCTGAGTGTGTAATAACCACTATAGTGATACTAGAATAGATGAAGGAGGTAATGGAGAGCTACCAGGGAGATGACTGGGCTCAAGACCTCATCAGAGGAATCCTGGCATCTCCAGGACAGAACTTAGAATACAGTTACCAAAGTGGAATACTGAGATACAAGGGGAGAGTTGTAGTAGGACAAGGGGGTGAAATAAGAAGGAAACTCATTTCTGCCCTTCATGATTCACAACTGGGAGGACATTCAGGCATACAAGCCAGCTTCATGAGGGCTAAACAACTATTCCATTGGCCAGGTATGTTCAAAGAAATCATGCAAGGCAAAGATTCTGCAGTGTGATACATGCAGGAAATATAAGGATGAACGTGTTGCTTATCCAGGACTGCTCCAACCCCTACCTATACCACAATAATCCTGGAGTCATGTCACCATGGATTTTATTGAAGGCCTACCTAAATCAGAAGGGATAGATACTATCCTGGTTGTGGTAGACAGATTTACTAAGTATGCTCATTTCATGAGTTTGTCACACCCTTTTGATGCTCCTAAGGCAGCCAGAATTTTCCTGGATCATATCAATTAGTTGCATGGCATATCTCAGAGTATGATTTTAGATAGAGATAAGATTTTTGTCAGCCAATTCTGGATTGAGCTATTCACACTACTGGGAGCAGGTCTGAACCTGAGCACAGCTTATCACCCCCAAAAAGATGGCCAAGCAAAAATGGTAAATCAGGTGCTAGAAATATATCTCAGGTGTATGACTCACCTCGAACCTAGGAGGTGGAACTCATGGCTATCCTTAGCTGAGTGGTGGTATAACACTACCTACCACACTGCTATACATATGAGCCCATTTGAGGCTCTATATGGAGCTAAGCCTCCCCAGCTAGCTCTTGGTCCCTATATGCAGGCTAGAGTGGCAACAGTGGAAGACTACATGAAGGACAGGAAGAAAATGGATGAGCTACTACAGTATAACCTAAAGGTTGCTTAAGAGAGGATGAAGAAGTACGCTGATGAACACAAGAGTGAAAGGGAGTTCCAAGTAGGAGATTGGTTGTACTTGCGATTACAACCCTACAGACAGTCAACTGTGATGCTTAGGAACAATACCAAGCTATTTGCTAAATACTTTGGTCCCTATCTGATAGAAGAGAAGGTTGGGGAAGTGGCCTATAGGCTTAGACTACCTACTGCATCAAAGATACACCCTGTATTTCATGTATCTTTGCTGAAGAAGAAACTGGGAGAAAGGGCAGCTCCTATTCTGCAACTGCTAGACACAGATGAAAGGGGGCAGATTAGAGTGGAGCCAGTGGCATTACTAGGCAGGAGGATGATTAAGAGGAAGAATGCTGCTGTAACTCAATGGCTAATCCAATGGTGAGGAACTGATCCTACAAAATCAACTTGGGAGGACGCTATGAAGATAAGGGAGAAGTTTCCTCAATTCCAATCTTGAGGACAAGATACTTGCGAGGGGGAGGTATTGTAATGAAGTAAGAAGGCTGGACCGGAACTGAAGAAACGAGCTAAGAAGAAGGAACAAAGAAGGCGTGATGTCAGAAGCTGAAAGCGTGAACTTTTGCATAGGAGAGTCATCGATGGTGTGCTATCAAAACCATGCCTTTGCTGGGTTTCATCTGTTCCTAACTGAAGCTGAGGACCACTGCAACTTGCAGCTATAATTGGAGACTTGTTTAATTCCCATTGGTTCAGTTGAAAGTTTGTTAGCGTAGATAGTGATATAAGCAGGCATGTCTGCTGCATTTTAGGTAGCTTTTGTCTTTTTTCCAGATTTGGTTGTAGAGATTTGGGATACCAATCTCATTTTCCCTCCTCTCAAGTTTTTCGGCAATTTCTTTCCCCTTCCTCATTGAATTCGTACTCTCTATTCTTGTAACTTGATATTGAAGTTTTATTAATGAAAGTTGAGTTTCTTCTTTTCTAATCTATAAGTTCACTGTTCCATTGATTATAGCTGAGGTTATTCCATTCTGAGTTTGGTACATTTTTCATATTGATGCAACTCTGGTTTCTGTATCATAACAATAAGTTGCTTTTAAAATTTATCCCGGTAAAGTTTCCCTACAATTAATTTCCAACCTGCATCTGAACTTCATAGATAGATTTCTAATCATCAGGTCTAGCAGTATTTGTTTGCTTCAGTCAAGCTACTCTTTTTTTATTTTGTTTTTCGTTATCGATCTGTTGGGCACTTGCAATCTGCCAAAACCTCCTTGAAGTTAGTGATTGGTTATGTGTTAACCCGTGTTAACCATATATTAGTTGACAAAAGCTTTACAATAAAATGGTAAAAACCCTTGTTACCATATATTAGAATTACCCATGGTTAGAATTAAGTAGAGTGCAGTTGTTATATTTCTATTAAGATTTGGTGTACATCTATTATATGGATTAATCTTATATATACTATCAATGTATACACTATTACCATTAGATATATGACACATGTTTAAAATTTGAATTTGAATTTGAAATTCAAATTTTATTCATGTACCATTCATCTAACTGTGATAATATATATACTGGCAGTGTATATAAGATTTACTCTTATTATATACCATTATCCATTTTTATGAAGTTGGTGTTCGTGCAAAAAATTGACTTATTGATGTGTATACATGAGAATACCAAGTTATACAAGAAATAGAATGGTTACATGCTCGAACGAAATTGAGTTGACAATGTACATGAGTATATCAAATCATGTAAACCAATACAATAATTGCCCAGAAAATTTCAACCATATCTACGTAGAGTCCATAATGAATTGTGTGCAGAACCAAGTTAGCTGTGGGGCGATCACCACTGGACCAACATCCTATTTGTTAAATTTAGCCGTAGGGCACAGTACGTCTTATCCCTTCGTGTGATTGACGAGTTATTACATAGAACGGAGTTTACCCAGTTCATATTTTCAGGTAACGGCTACGGATTCCCTTGTCAACAAAAAAAAAAAAAAATTAGCTGTGAGCAAGTTGAAATTTTGAAGTGGTCTGACAGTTCTTCTACAAGCAAAATTTACTCGAATTTTTATATATCCCAAAATTGAAGTCACTGTTCACTTTTATATGTGCAGTAAAAGCTGTTTTATTTTAGCTATGCAAGCAAAGATAGTGAGTGTGCACACATTTTCAAAATTCAAACTTTGTGGATGCATTTTTTGTTTGCTGAAAGAAACCTGTTGGGACAAAGTCACCATTCTCATCTTACCCTGCCCCTCTACCATTACTGACTTTCCTTGGACACGCTGCTGAGTCGAAATGCAAGGGGTCCAATGTAAACAAATACAGTTTGCAAAGCTAGCCACATCCAACATGTCCCATTTATCATGTTTAATTATCGATATAATTGAACAATCAGAACAAAATCAGGTGGTTGTATGTAAAAAGTGACAGGTATTTTACATACGTGCAAGCTAAAAAATACCGAATTACACCCGTTCACTGCAAGTATACAGATCAACTAGTAGTTTAGGGTATATATCGGGTCGATCCCACGAGGAAGAGTGAACAATTACCGGTATTACTAAAGCTTCTCTATTATTTAGACTATCAATGAATTATAACAAATTTAACCTACTGAAATTATACAAAATAACAAATAAAAGCTCCTTAGGTTGTGGTATCCCTAACTACTCATGCAAGTGTTATATTTGGATCATTGAATACTACATCTAAGCTAGTTATGGTGTAATTTCCTTATGCATTTGAATCCTACTTCCGTAGTGAATCAATTATACTTATAACTAATCCATACCTATTCTCATGGTTATGAAATTAGCTACAAGTTCATTTCTTCAATGAAATTACATGAAATGAATCACTAAAAACCACATAAGTGCACCTCTACTTTCGTGAGTGTACTCCCTATGTTTAGCACTTCTTGAACTAGTGTTAAATCTCAATTTTCATTGCAGAACAACACCTTAGATAATCACAATTAATGGTACCAGATTAATCATGATTTAAAGAGCCAAGGTGCTAAATAACTTGCTCAAATCATAGCAATCAAATAACCAAAGAATAAACACTCACAATCATAGAAAGTTCAACCAAACCCAAGGTATAAACTTTAGATACACATATTAAACACAAAATCCAGAACTTGTATATTAACTAAACTTGGAATCAAGTACAAAAGATAAAGATTTGGAAGGAATACAACCCTTGTCACATAAGCTTTCTTCCTTGCCTTCTTCATCCTCCATCTTCTTCTTCATCTAGCTAATAACAAGAATGGATGAACTATCCTACTCTATACTAAGCTAAACTAACACTAGGAAGATGAAAGAGCTACATTTCTGCAGACTCAAAGCTTCTCCCGTATGTCTCTCTCTATTTTTCTGCTATGAACTCCTCTCCATTTTGCAATGAATTTGGCTATTTAATGATGAAAGGTGGTCAAGAAATGAAGCTTTACACTTTCTCCTTACAGCTGGTAATGTCTCTCACATGTCTAGTATCACATGTGAGTTGGTGGAGGTGCAATTGAGTTTTATGCGTATAAAGCAGCCTTTTCTGACCAGTGATCCGAGCTGCTACAGTGCCTCGGATCCACTAACCCAGAAACAGCCGAGGGTTCGGATGAATAGTGGATCCGAGTGTGGATCACTTGCTCTGTTTTTGGCCCAACTTCAACCGATCTTTTCTTGATGTTAGAGGCTGAACCAGCTCATGCCTAAAACACGAAAGTTGTAGCCTTTTGATTTATCTTTCCAATGCATCAAGAATCACCTCATTTGGATCTGTGTAGGCTGAGATATGACTGAAATACCCTTGCCTGCTCCATGCCTTGTTCCAGTTTCGACCAATAGCAATTGACTCTGTACTTCGGCTTTTTTGACC